AGTGGAGTGACTCTCTGAGTCTCCGGACCCACTGCTTTTTATTTATTAGAATATACATTGGCCCTTTAGCAAACCAATCAGACATATCAAAGGTAAGGTTTGGTGAACAGTAAAAGATTATCAGGTTAGGGGATTGCCTACAGCCACCATTGTCTCTACAGAACAAACGGTGCATAGCTTTTAGGCCTTGCTAAAGCCCCAAGGTCCATCAGCCTTCTGACGGACCTCTTGCATTTTTTATACTAACTACGTGTTGGTCTTTGCCTCCAGCACCCAACCCTGCCATAAAGTGGCCCTATTCCTCAGGAATCCCCCAGCACCTCTGCCCAATACTGCTCTTTTAGAAGAACCTCCTCACTTAAAATTATCTAGCCAACGGTGGAAGTGGACGTGGAGTGGGAGGAGAAGGGAATGTGCAGAGGGCTTGCCAGGTTATCTCACCATTTTTATCACCTTCTTCCCAAACCAGGATCCAGAGTTTATCTGATGTTTCCTACTCCTCTACCTGGCATTAGGCTGGTGCTATAGTTTTTCTACTCCATGACAGCAGACAAAGTAATGGAGGAGAGATAAGGACACAAGTAAAACGTGCTCCCCACTCGGTTCCCTATCCTCACTTCCTGGCTCTCAGCTGCCATTCCTGCTGTATACAGAGCAACAATGACTCAACAAAGACTCAGTGCCTTTTCTTTAGGGATTTCTCCCTGATTCTGTGTTGGGTTCCAGGATCCATCAACCTCCCTCACTTCTGTATCATCTATCTCTTTGGATTCCTGAGAATGGCCCAATAGTCTTTGTTACTTTTCCTTCATATATGTTTATGTCAGTAACCTGGTCATCCCTCTTATATTATTGACTAAATTACACTAAATGCATCATTCATAATAATTATTTGATAATTTAGCAAACAATTTTCACAAATAGTCTCAGGTTTCCAAAAGTTGTTAAAAATTCAACAGAACTATTCTAAAGAGAATTAGAAATAGTCATTAAAACAGGGGTTTGCTCCCAACAGTAAATGACATAAAGGCAGATAGCCTGCTAAACACATAAAAATCAGAAAATGCCTTAACTAGTATATAAATATCAACAAGGAATTGTTAGTGAGCTTTCATATCTTCAACAAACAGAAGTCACCTGCATCATTTGTAGTAGGAGAAACCAAATGGGGTGGGCTTTCCTACAGCCCAGTTTAAGAAAGAACAAAGTGCAGTGACTGCCTGTCTTATTGAGCTCATACCCATGTACCAATAGAGCTACAGAGAGAAAACATCTTTCATCAATTTATAGTTTTTTAAGAAGCAAAACTACTTCATTACTAAGGTCATTTGAAAAAGACTTATTTATTCTGTAAGAGGATTGGCCCAAAGTGTTTCCTTTGAGGGTAACACATCGGGGGTATTTAGGATTTTTTGTTTGTTTATTTTTGCCTTCTCTCCTTGAACTGTGAAATCAAAAGACAAGTGGAATGGAGGAAACCAAGGCAAGCTAACTCAGCCAGCACTGGCAGCTGCCTGTCACGGGAGTGTGTCGCCTTGACAGAGGAAGTAGTTTTTTTCCATTGCAACAGAAAAAGGGCAATGCAATCAAACTTGATGGCAAGGTTACCTCAGACATACTAAATTAAGGGGAATATTTTGCGTTTCTTTCTTTCCAAATTGTCCTTAGTGAGATTATTTGAAAAGAGAATGAAATTAAATTTCTAAAATTATTTGAAAATAAAATAATTTGGAAATGTCTATTTAGTTGCTGACAGCGATAGTAATGAAATCCATTAGTAATCAATTATCGTGAACACAAAATATACTTCTCAAATATCCAGCAGAGAACAAACAATCTCAGGTTTCATTAGTGAGGCAATAGTACAATGTGAACAAATCAATATTTTCCAAAGAAATACAGTAAGGTAACCAATGCCTTCCTAGAATATAATTTTTATGGGCATTCTTTCAAGTGTGTTTCTCACACTAGGTGACTTGTAAGCCTAGAAATTGGTCTCTAAAATATATTGACTTAAATCTTCATTTAAAATGTTTTGCCTTTTTTCACATTTTATTATATTTTTATAACATGCAGAAAATTTTCAAATATACAGGAAGCTAAAATAAGTTATAACAAACACTGAACATGTAACAAGATTGTACCACTGAATTTCACTATACTCATGTATCATGTATTTATCCACCCCTCTAGGACATCACCACCCACATAGAAAGCTCACTCATGTGAACTATAGATGTTCATCCACCTTTAGATTTAAGACAGTTAAATGCCACTTAATGACATCTTGAATGATTATATCATGTAGAAATAGTTGAAAATTCACATAATCCTTTTACTTTTTAAAAGTGATCTATTTGATGAATATTCTGATTTGTAGACAAAAAAAATCAGAGCTACCTTTCATGGAGAATCATTGGTCTTCAAGTAGAACATGTCTGGGTGGCATTTAAAATCACTTTGGGTGAGAGTTAATCTCTTTGGGAGTCAGTTCTTCTTTGTAAAATGGATATATAAATACCAACTCAAAATTCATCTCAGGAATGTTGTGAGGGTGAGAAAAAGGAGCAGTAAAAGAGTACTTAGACATATATAATATTTTCCTTATTTGTAGCAATAAGGAACATTGGATTATTAATGGCATGTGCAGCTGTAGCCTTGGAAATCACATACCTCCCTGGTTAAGCATTATGAGCTTTATTTCCTGGAGACTTGATCGAATCACATAATTGACTTAGTGTACTATAGTTTCATTTTTCTCATTAACGACATTAAAATTCTTGCACTGAAAAAGCTTGTGAAACCACTGATTATTTTCAGCAGTGGTCTTTAATAATAAGGCTTATTTTTAGTGCATGCTACTAATTTTCAATGTTATAAGTTTTTCTAGAGGCCCGGTGCATGAAAATTTATGCACTGGAGGGGGCATCCCTCAGCCCAGCCAGCCTCCTCTCACAGTCCAGGAGCCCTCAGGGGTGGGAGGTGACCTGGCGATCAGGGGAGGTGATGCCCCCATCACACCTCTGCTGCTGCCACTGCCAGTAGCACAAGCCTCGGGCGGCCCTGGGTGGCTGGGCAGCCGACATCCGAGGCTTGCCTGCACCTTGGTCCAGGACTGGGCAACTGGGGGGCTGAGGGCAGGTCTGGCCGCACCACATGTCTGCCACCCCTCACCCCCCAGCGGGGCTGAAAGGACTGGGGGACTCTGGCAGGGCTGAGGGGACTAGGCACTGCCATCTTGTGGCTATGGGTGCTGCCATCTTTGTGATGGTTAATTTGCATATTCCCTCTTTATTAGATAGGATTCTTATTAATTAAATGGGGGTTTAAGAATAAAATTAAAAAATATTAAGGCCTTTTCCCCATATTCTAGTTATAGGTCAGTTTTAAAAATTCTTGCCTCAAACACTAACAGAAAGAATTGACCTTTGACCTTTGACTGTGATTCAAAGCAATTTCCACCCTGTTAAATTATTCTGGGTATCAAGCACATGAAGCATTTCGGATAAAAGTCAGAAAATGCGTGAAATCACCATTTATTTATTTATTTATTTATTTATTTCTCTCAACTTAACCACAATGCTTGCTATAAACTGAGCATTGTACAAAAATATTTTATTTTTCCTAATTACAAAATAATATGGACTTTTATTTAAAAATGCAAACATTGTAGGCATGCATAAATTAGATAATAAGGATTCTTATAACCTCACATTTCAGCGAAAATTATTATAAGTTTGTGAAATATTTTTTGTACACCCACACATGCACACACATGCACATGCACACCACATCTTAGGTAAAGGTTACCAGCATGGAATTAGATATACCTGAGTTTGATACCCAGCTATAATGTGTGATCTTAAAAAAAATTACTTAATCTCTTTAGGCCTTACTTTCCTTGTTTGTGAAATACAAACCATAATAAAGTGCCAGACATTATTTCATTACTTATTCAATACAAATGAGTTTGTATGTATGTGTCTGTGTGTGTATAAAAAAAGAGATGGTATATTTTACTTGCTGTTTTTGAAACTTTCTTTTTCTTTATGATATGTCAATTCATTATATCCACATGCCATTTTAAAAAATGACTCCATAGAATGTCACTGTATAGATACATAATTTACTTATCAAATCCTTATTTTTACTATTTGAAACCATGCTGTGATGAAACATTGTGTGTATGCATCTTTAACTTCTGCATTTCTGCAGGGTCAATTTCCTAACGTTGAATTGTTTTTTTATAAAGAATGGAAAATATGTTGGAAAAGATCCATTCATAGTAGCAGCAACACAAAGACTGACAGCAAGAAAACAACTAACACAACTCCCAAAAAGTACCTAGAAATAAATTTAATAAGATATAAATATATACAAAATATGAAACTCTATGAAGGGACATGTACTAATAGATTAATGAAGGGAGACACATACTTTTCTTAGCCAGAAAGACTCAATGTTATAAAAATGTCATTAATATGCAATTTAAACTACACATTAAATTCACTAGTAAGATACTGTCTCATATATGCTTAACTATCTTGGAGGCAAATCTCACTTAATTACTCTTCTCTTTCAGAATTTTACTGGCTATATCCTCTTGTTTATTCTTCCAGATGAAATTTGGAGTCATTGTACCAACTCCTAAAGAAAGACATTTTGTTTTTCTAGGGTTTTAACTAGAATTACACTGAATTTATTAAGTCTATTTCCAGGTGTTCTATGATTTTTAGTTTTGTTGTTGCTCATTGTGAGTGGGTTCCCCTCCCCCGCAAATGTGGTGTTTCACCCCCAAGCATACTTAACTTGTTCAGAAAGCACACATTAACCTGATAATTTTACCAAGCAGGAAAAGAAGGGGACTTTTTTTTTTTTAGTTTTCATTTTGGAAGCTTTTGAGATCATTGTAATTTCCCATTGGATCTGTTTTATTACTTAGAAAATCAGATAAAAAGGGAAACAAGTGGAAAAGCAACACCAGGAAAGGACACAGAACAGGAATCCAAAGATCTTACCCAGGCCTCCTGTGTTCTTACACTGACTGTACAGAAATAGGAGGCAGAGTAAACTTACCCCATATACACCTCAGCTCAGGCTCTTTGCCTGGTCTGTATTGTGAATGGGGAGACATTGAAAAAAATAATAAAATAAAATAAAATAAAGATCTTACCCAAATCCTGGATTTACCCTCTTTAGCATTGATTTTCAGCTAGTCTGCCAAACTCTAAGTGTCCTAATTTTCTTTTCTTGGTCATCTAATTTATTCTCTATTGGGTTAAAAACAATGCCTGTTGAATGGTTTATTATGTGCCAGACACCATATTAAGAGCTGGGAAATGAGCACTCCGAAGAGACTACAGAGAACATTCAAGTAGTGTGGTCTTACCACCAATTTCTCACCTAAATGTTACTGTTTTCAGATTCCTAACTAGAGCTGTCAATTTACATCTCTGAATTGTGGTTTTGTAGGTTGTGGAGCCTTTATTTGTCCAGGGTATGGTTTGTGGCAAGGAGTCTGGTTTAGTTCTTCTTCTAAGTCAGGTAATTCTCAGCCCCATTTCTCCTCTGTGACTATGGAGCTTTTCCATTTAACCTTCTATGATTCCCTAACCTCCATGCAGTTTCAGAGATAATCAGGATACATGGCATTCTCCAAGCCATTGATTCCCATGCTTTAATGCACCTAAGAATCTCCCAGGATCTAAGTCAGTAGTCTGAGGCCAGACACAGGACCCTACATTTCCAATAAGCTCCCAGGTGAGAACTGTGCAGCTCTTCACAAACCACATGTTAAATAGCAAGGGGCTAAGTCAGTCTAGAACAGTGATGGCGAACCTATGACATGCGTGTCAGAGGTGACACGCGAACTCATTTTTTTTTGTTGATTTTTCTTTGTTAAATGGCATTTAAATATATAAAATAAATATCAAAAATATAAGTCTTTGTTTTACTATGGTTGCAAATATCAAAAAATTTCTATATGTGACACGGCACCAGAGTTAAGTTAGGGTTTTTCAAAATGCTGACATGCCGAGCTCAAAAGGTTCGCCACCACTGGTCTAGAAAAAGACTGAGCATGAGGTATTCCCCAAGCAGCAGCCTACTAGGCCAACCTTGCCACAGCTGGTCAAATCTATGTAATTGAGCAGCAACTTGTCAAAAATCTAATTAGTTCTTGTCATTCAACTTGCCCTGGAGCATTTTCCCCCTCCCAGGCAAAATGACTCAATACCAAAAGGCTCCTGATGTTTTTTTTTTCTTTTTTTTAAATCTGTTTTTGTTTATTTCATTGGAGAATGGAGAGGAAAAGAGAGATAGAAACATCAAGATGCACGCCCCCTGCTGGGAATCGAGCCCCCAACCCAGGCATGTGCCCTGACCACATGCCCTGACTGGAATTTAACCATGACCTCTTGGTTCATAGGTTCAATCACTGAGCCACCCCTGGCCGGGTGGCTCCTGCTGTCTTACCTCTCAAAGTAGGTAATCAAAATTGAGGTTTTCAGCAATCATCAGGAAAACCTCCAAACACCCACATTTGCCATAAAAGCAAGAGTAGAGAAATGAAAGGGACAAATGAAAATGTATCCTTTGCCTTTACCATTTCCCAAATTTTAGCTTTTTAATTCCCCCCAAATTTTAGTTCAATTCATAACATGCTTATGGTTAATAATTTGATGAGAACTAAAAAAATAAATAATAGAGTAAAAACTACCTAAAATACTAACATTCAGATTTAACCACTATAAATATCTTGAAAAACATACTTCTAAGTCGGTCTCACCACACACACACACACACACACACACACACACACATACACACACACACCACATTTAATGTTACATAATTACATGCAGTCTTCATGTTGTATTGTAAATTGACTGTTTTTACAAAAGTTAAATTTACCTATTGATAAGTCTTAATCAGCACTGGTACTTTATTATTTTTATTGAGTAAATTTTATGTGTAATATTGTGCAAGTTTAAGGTGTACAACATGTTACTTTGATACATTTATATATTGTAATGATTGTTGATATAGTGATATTAATCACATTGTATAGTTATAGTATAATATTCTTGTCTTTTTTTCTTTTTAAATATAATATGTTTTATTGATTCCAGCGAGAGAATAAGGGAGAGGAAGAAACATGGATGAGAGAGAGAAACATCGATTGATCGGTTGCCTACTGTAAGCCCCACACTGGGCATCTGGAATGGAGTAGCAACTCAGCATGTGCCCTGACTGGGAATTGAACCAGTGACCTCCTGGTACATGGGATGATGGTCAGCCAACTGAACCATTCTGTCCAAGATTCTATATTTCTTACATTATGCATTGTATCTCAATAGCTTATTTACTACTCATAATAATTTTGTACCCTGATGCACCATCACTCTATACACTCACCCCAACTCCTGGGAACCAACATTTTACTCTGTTTTTAAAGGTTTCATTTTTTAGATTCTGTATATAAGTGATATACAGTACTTGTCTTTCTCTGTTTGATTTATCTCACTTAGCATGATGCGCTCAAGGTTCAGCCATGTTGTCACTAATGGGAAGATATCTTACTTATGGCTGAATAATATTCAATTGTGTATATGCACCATATCCATTTTTATCTATTCATCCCTTGATTGGCATTTGTGTTTTTTTCTTATTTTGACTATTATGAATAATGCTGCTATAAACATGGGAGTGCATATACGGTATTCCATCAACATCCTTTCCTTTGGGTATATACCCAGAAGCGGAATTGCTGGATCATATGGTAGTTCTATTTTTAATGTTTTGAGGGACCTCTATATTGTTTTCCATAGTGGCTAGACCAGTTTACATTCCCAACAAAAATGTGTAAGGCTTCTCTTCATCCCATCCTTGCCTGCGCGTATTGTCTCTTGTCTGCTTGATGACAGCCATACTGACAGGCTACTCCAGTACTTCAAATCATTGCTTAAAATTCCATTGGTGCAACAGAAGCATGTTTGTTTTTGAAATATTAGAAGACACTTTTAAAGAATATTTTATTAATTTTATATACCTTACTAATGATATAAGTTCAAACAATATAATTATAAAGCAGAAGCAAAATATCACCTAAAATTTAACTCTCAGAAGTACCTTCTCGCCCTAACCGGTTTGGCTCAGTGGATAGAGCATCGGCCTGCGGACTGAAGGGTCCCAGGTTCGATTCTGGTCAAGGGCATGTACCTTGGTTGTGGGCACATCCCCAGTAGGAGGTGTGCAGGAGGCAGCTGATCGATGTTTCTCTCTCATCGATGTTTCTAACTCTCTACCCCTCTCCCTTCCTCTCTGTAAAAAAATCAATAAAATATATATTTTTTAAAAAGAAGTACCTTCTCTAATGTTAGGAGAGCAGAATTCCTGAAAATTTTTCTGTACACATATGCACAGTTAGAAAAATAGCTAGATAAAAAATGAAATTTTATAAAAATGAGATTATACTATACAATTTTGAGTAAAATGTTTCAAATTTAATTATAGTTGAACATAACAGAGGGAGAAGAAAACTAAAGTCAAACTTTATAGAATTGTTTCCATACATGAAAAATGTTACTTCCAGGATCTACCACTTAACTTTCTGGAGGAACTTAGGCAAATTACTTAATTTTTTGAGGAAACTCCAAACTGTTTTCCACAGTGGCTGCACTAGTCTGCATTTCCACCAGCAGTGTATGAGGGTTTCCTTTTCTCCACATCCTCACCAACACTTATCATTTGTTGATTTGTTGATGATAGCCATTCTGACAGGTGTGAGGTGGTACCTCATTGTTTTGATTTGCATCTCTCTGATGATTAGTGACTTTGAGCATTTTTCATATACCTTTTGGCCTTCTGTATAACCATTTTGGAGGAGTGTTTATTTTGGTCCTTTGCCTGTTTTTAAATTTATCTCCTTTTTGTTAAGTTGTATGAGTTCTCTATAGATTTTGGAGGTTAACCCTTATGTGATATATCATTAGCAAATATGTTCTTCCATGGAGTGGGCTCTCTTATTATTTTATTGATAGTTTCTTATGCTGTGCAGAAGATTTTTATTTTGATTTAGTCCCATTTGTTTATTTTCTCCTTAATTTCTATTATCCTAGGAGATGTATCTGTAAACGTATTGCTAAGAGAGATGTGTGAGATTTTGCTGCCAATGATTTCTTCTAGGATTTTTATGGTTTCATGTAGGGAAGCACAGGAGACTTGGTTGGAAAGTCTGTAAGGAGGAAAATTCCCAAAAAAGGAGTGGGCTGAAGGTGACACACCCTGTTCATCGGAATTCCTACTTAGGGGAGTTTGGCTGAAGGCAGCTGCCCCTAATTGTTCTTTGACCTTTCCAAACAAGTCTGTGCATGTGCAGAACTTCAGGTGTTTACCGGAATCTTCATGCTTAATCTTTAGGTGTCCTTGCCTAAAGGACACTGCAGACACATGAGTCCTCCCAAGATTACTTACCCCACTGATTGTATCTAAAAGATAAACTTTATCTCAAACTGCAGTTACAATAAAAGCCTGCAGAGGCAGGCAAACTGCCTGGTTGCTTTAGCCAGGCAGTCCCTTAGCCCTCTCTTTCACAGCAATCCTGTGTCAGAGTAATCATTCATCCATCGCTCAGGGTCTGCTGGTCAGCCCTGGCAGTTTCACATCTTACATTTAAGTCTTTTATCCATTTTGAATTTATTCTTGTGTATGGTGTAAGTTGGTGGTCTAATTTCATTTTTTTGCATGTATTTGTCCAATTTTCCCAACAACATTTATTGAAGAGACTGTCTTGACTCCATTATGTGCTCTTGCCTCCTTGTCAAATATTAATTGAGCATTCTGGCTTGGGTCAATTTCTGGATTCTCTGATCTGTTCCATTGGTCTATATGCTTGTTCTTGTGCCAGTACCAGGCTGTTTTGAGTACAGTGGATTTGTAATATAACTTGATATCTGGTTGTGATCCCTCCAACTTCGTTCTTCTTTCTCAAGATTGCTGCAGCTATTCAGGGTCTTTTCTATTCCATATAAATTTTTGGAATATTTGTTTGATGTCTGTGAAATAAGCCATTGGTATTTTGATAGGGATTGCATTGAATCTATAGATTGCTTTGGGTAGTATGGCCATTTTAATGA